TCATAATCCCAATACCCTAGAATATCCAGAATCAAATGTCGTGATACCCAAAACTGTCATAGTATCCTAACTGTTCTACGTCTACGAAACATTCAGGTAATACCCTATGTATGATATAAATGACGGTGTCAGAACTGGAAGGTATTATCCTATGTATTTTATTGTTGACGACTTGAAGACTGGAAGGTAATATCCTGTGTATAATATAAATGATGACTTGAAGACTGGAAGGTAATACCCTTTTATATCTCATCTTGTTCTTCCATACCAAAGTTTTCTGCCAAATCTACCTGACATACCACCTTTTCATCCGTCACTTCCAACTTCAGTTTTTCGAAATATTTGCTCTGTTCACGTTTGACGTAGACATGGAATAAGAACTGCTACGTCTTGGATTTCAATAATTTAACTGCCTCATCGACACTGGCACTAAATGCCTTCTTTTCAGCACGACCATTTTCATTCACCCATTGGAACCAATTAATTTTAGCATTCCCGTCTGTTCCATTATTTTCAACTTTTTCTGTAAAGAAGAAAGTGTAAGAACGAAGTGAAAACCTGTACTAGGTGGAATAACACATTAGGGCTATTTTCATCAAAAATTAATAAATTCAGAACTCAGTCAAAATCCTATTCTTTTGAAAAGCAAATATACAGTTTTGTAGCACTTGAAAAGCTAATTCGAATGATGTGTCGTGTGATTATTTTCAAAAACTGTTGATTTGCAAACAAAAATGTAAATCGCTGAACGGTCCGTAATCGGCATTAATTAGGGTTAATTAATGATTAATCAAGATTATGATTTAAAATCCTTTCAGCAATTAGCGATACAAACAGCCGATCATTTCGCTGTTCAAGGAGCGCAACTTGACCTATTTGATAAGTAAAATCAAAATTTATCGATGCGATTAAAACCATACAAACGTTCAATAATCAAATGTTTTACAGCTGAATCTAGAAATGAACTTAAGCTTAACTTGCCACACTGGTCGCCCATGCTCATAGTAGTACGATGGGAAAAAATCATGGGCGACCAGTGTGGCAAGTTTCAAGTCAAAACTCATGAACTCAAGAACCAAGCAAAACTCAAGAAACAAGCAATTAGGGCTATTTAGCGCCAAACTTGTATTAAGCGTGCGCGCTCAAGCCTGTTTCTCTCGCATTTGGCGGAAAATTCTTTAGGTAAAAAACAGCTCTCTCTCTCTCTGAATAGTATTTCTTAGTTAGCTGAAGCACTGATTTACCATGTTTTACCCGGGTTTCTCTTCGGGAACATCGTAAAATAATCAAAGTGCATTATTCAAAGCTAGAAGTTGAGCTTAAAATTCACACAACAATTTTAATTGTGACACGTCCTCGCATCTATAAATTCTTTCAACGCTTAATATAATTGTCAGATAAAACTATTTTTACTCTTTTGATCTTTGAAACATTTTAATGATTATTTTCCAGGAAACTTTCTACCCTAGAGTATTCTAACTTCTTAACACATCTCTTTCTTAATGCAACACATGTGATGAAAACTTCATCGCAAAATGCATTTTTATTTTGAGATCTTTGCATAGAATATTTAATACACGGAGGTAATTTGTTAGATCTAGAAAATGTCTGCTTTTTCGTTTCCTTTTCTACAGAAAAACAGAAGAGGTAGGAAGGAGAAAGTGCCACCCCTACTTGTAGACTTTGTGGTATCTTCAGGTCCGAAAATCACCTTATGTAAAGTTCTTTTTAAAACTCATTTTAATGGAGCTCAAATTGATCTTAAATCTTATATTTAATAATTTCTATCGCTGCTTTTTTCTTACCCAAAAGTGACCACTTTCATGAGCTTCTGGCAGTTTTCGGTGTTGGGGTATTTGATTTTTTTCTGAATCGATCCAGATAAAATAATGTGAAAATAGAATACAAAGGAATAGGATGATCATTCATGCTGTAAAACAGAGTTGCACACTACAACTAGAACACTTGGAAGCAAAAATTTTAAAATGAAAACTAGAAACAGCTATAAATAAGGCAATATATGTACAATGAAAGGTACATATATTGTACAGAAAGGTACAGACTTGTACAGAAAGGTGATTTTAGGTTACAGAACTCTGTTAATCATATAGTCTCAGCCGTCCAACGTGAATCGGACTTGAAACAGCACCATCAACTTCAGAGATTAGTTCACAATCACGAAGACCGACTTTTCTCGCGTCATTTCTCTGATACAAAACTATTTTGTCACTAAGGGTTTCTCCCTAGAGCGTGCAGCGCGTACTGTGATAAGCACGTCGACCAGTCGTGGCAGATGCAATTTTCTTTGCGTAAAATCCTTTGTACGATATGATAGCATTGCCATGTGTCAGAATATCCTGGTCATATTACCAGTAGATTAATTGCCTCGAGCATTGCTTTAAGCTCGTTCAATGAGTCACTTTGTTCCGAAACTGCAGAGTCAAGAACTCGAGTGCATTATTCTCATCCTTATCTTCCTTTCAGTCGATGGAAAAAATGACATTAAATTTAAAATGTTTTATTTCTGAAGTTTTCTACATGCTCATTGTTTTTCTTCTGTTACGCAGAAGTTATTTACTTTTTAGCTACCATACCAACAATAGATGGATACCGTTTGAAGTCATCATAGAACGTTTTATCTTCTACTTTGGGATCAGGTTGTGCTGGAATCCATTGTAACGATTTGAAACCAGCTTCATTAAAAAAATTTTCATAAGTTTTTGGTGAGAAATAATAACAATAAAATATACATTTTGATGGTCTACTAACATCGTGATAAAATGTATGTTTAATTTCTGAACCGTCTTTTAATTCACCATCAGTTTCGGTCTTAAAACCATACTTTTTATGTTTATCATTGTTATATACTTCCATACCACCACAAACATTTGTACTTATTGAATAAAATGTTCCATTTGGTTTCAGTTGTTCGTAGATAACTTTAATCTTTTGTTTTAATTCTTCATATGTTTTTGAATAGTGTATATAATGAAGACCTGTTACAATATCATATCTATCATCGTCTCGTGGTTTGGATAATATTGCACCATTCGCACATAAATAATCGATACCCTTTGGATCATTTAATTCTTTTTCTTTGGCCATATTAATCATTGTTGCACTTATATCAACGCCCAGTATATAAGAACAATTTAAATCTTTTAATTTTCTCGTATAATGTCCATCACCACAGCCTAAGTCGAGAATACGTTTAGACCTTAATGTAAAATTATCGGTAGAAGTCGTACTACATTCATTAGGTATAAGCATATAATTGAAAAATGTGTATTCTATCACATCCTTTTTCAAACCGCTTGTCTTACTCAGTTCAACATATTCTTCAGCTATCGTATCATATATTGTTTTGGCGTCATGCATTTGTTCTTCATGTGAAGCCATGCTTGATGATTATTATTTCAGATACCGGGAATCTTCGAAAAATTCAATATTGTACGAGGACAGATTCTTTTTCAAAGTAACAAAACATAATTTTATGAAGATGGCTTGTGATAATACAGGAGGAGTTTTGGTTTTAATAACTTGATGTAGAAGGATTTAACTGTGGTGTAAGTTACAAACACTTGAAAATATAAATAATTTCCAGTAGTTTATATACCTAAAACAAGGACAAAGAAAATAATATGAAAAAAAATAAAATAGAGTGAAAGAATGAAGAAAGAATAAAAACTATAGAGAGTATATAGGACTGGTATCTATATTTGTAAATATTGACCTTCTCCCTAAGAGTCGCCCCTAAGGAATAAGATGATATTAGTGATGTTCATGCGATTCAAAATGAGCTCACCGCATTATTATTTATTGCTGCACTTATTCCGCTTATATGGCCTTCTTCTGTCGTATTCATTATGTAGAAGTATGACTTATCTCTCTCCTTTTACGGATGACAGAACTCGCATTGTTCTATATAAATTTAAGTAATGGATGGCGTTTGTCATCCTTCCAATCTGTAATTTACCATATCTAATAGAACAATCTCGTTGTAATATCAATCTGGTAGTTTGATATTACAGCATCATTAAAAAATTGTTGGTAAGTTTTTGGTGAGAAATACTAGGTATCCTATAAATAGTAGACATGTGACACCTAGCATATTGGATATAGGACCTCAGCCCGCGAGCCGGTGTGGAAAATCTGAATCGACAGTTCGATTTGTAAGAAGTTAGCATCGAATAGTAGCATCCAATAGATGCTAACTTCGGCATTCGTTGAAAACTAGCATCCAGAAGAAAAAATACGGAAGAGGCCAATATGGCGACTGAAAAAGTAACTTTTTTTAATTAAAGTTACATTATTGAATGAGGTAAATTGCATACAATACTTAGTTAATCAAAATAGAAGATGTAGCGCGTACTTAGACCAATACACAGTGGGCAATTTTGGCTAGAGCAGGCGGACATATGCTATTAATTCAAATAATAACTTTTGATAGAAAAGAGCTAGAGAGCTCTGGTTTTCGCCATTCAAAAGAGGAGACTTGAAAGCACGCTTTCATAACCAACATTGTTTCCAGAAGAGTTGACTAAAATAGATTTTCTAGGAGATCTTTGGAAAACTAGGCTGTCTGTAAAAATTTTCCAATAGAATTATATTACTGTTTTTTATGCTCTTATAGCCCGAGGTGTTCTTTTCAAAACAGGAGCAAAGTGAGACCTTGATTTTCCGCGGTTCGGACGTTGTATCGGATTTCCTACGAGTCCCACTTGTTTATAGGAGATCTCAAAAGAAATTTTATAAAACCCTAAGGTTTTCCAAAAGGTTCTCTGGAAAACCCCATAATAAAACAAGGTTTTTTGCTGGTTTTTCGGTCGTATAATCACATTTAGGGAAGAAAATTAACTATATCCTGGAAGTTTGAACTCATTCTGAAGTTTATTGAGTGAATAGTGAACGTTTTAATATTAGGTGAAAACAGCCTGAAAACGCAAATTTTCGTCAAATTTGCTTTTCGGTAGATTTTTAGAACTTTTTCTAAAAACAAATATTACCACGAGACTCAGCATGATCGATTACCGATAGTCCATCTGTTTTCCACGCTACCAATAATCACCGGGTGACAGTCCTGGAACTCCAAAAACTAAGGGTTTTTGGAAACCCATAACTCTGTTAAGATTCATTTGGGCACTTTTGGGCATGCATTATAGTTGCATTGTGAGTAGAAGAATATTCTGTGAAAGTTTCGTCGAATTTGGATGATGGCTAACGATGGCGCGCTTATTTTACTGAAGAATAGCCATTTGGGTGACACATAGCGTGGAAAGAAAAAACTGGTTTACAGACATTTAAGTCCGCAAACAATGCATTTTATTCGGAATCGATAGCTAAAAGTTCATAGATTCCGAATACATACGTATAAATAAATATTAAATCTGTTAAATCTAAGAAAAATACTGTTTTTCCATAAAGGTCGTAGAGGTCGCAGATATACAAGTTCCTTTTTACTTGTGCATTTTTTGCGAAATTTCTGCACTTGCCTGGAAAATTTTAACACCAATAAATAGCTCATTATTCAGAGTACATGATGCAATATTTGGATTTCAAGAAGCACACTTTCAATTTTTCGTCTAATGTCCGCATGATTCCCCACTGTGCAATAGATATAAACACGGTCAAGAAATGTTAGTTCACCGGAAAGACAGAAGAAAGTATAGGTGTCGAAAGAAGTACGGTCATAGGCCTTTTCTCTATTTTTGACCGGAAAAAAGACTCCAAAAGATCTGAGAACGACATATTCGTGATCTCCGCTGAATTCTCTATCGAACGGTGTATAAATAAACCAAATCTAGTTTTTACTGCAAGTCTCCCTTACAAACATCTTAAATATGTAAGTTTTACAGAAGCAATAGAGATTGCGTTATTTTAAGGACTTGTTGCATCTCTACTCCGTCAACTAGATTTCGATCTAATCCCTCACTGAACTTCAAACATCTAACTGAAAGACCAATGATCTGATGAAATAGCTGAATTATTTCGTGTTCGCCTACACGATAGACCATGAATTTCCATAGTAGACTAACATAATAATTTTGTAGTGCGAGAATAAATTCTGGTGGTGGTGTATAGGAATAATCGTGAAATGCATCGGTCGGTGTCGTTGTTGAAAATTCAGTTGAAAATACTTTGACGAGCAAGAGCAGTCGTGCGAATAACGTATCTTTGAGAACACCTCGATAGTCTCTCATGATGTGTTCTAGTTGAATCAATAGTTCATCACCAATCACATATTGCCACACAATTCGATCGTTGCTTTCCTGAGGAAGATACTCGTAGCCCGATTCGGTCTGTTCAACAATATTCAAACATTTCAAATTTCTGACATTTCGCTGTACAAATGTTCGATGCACTTGCTCAGGTAAGTGTCGAAAGTCGGGCATATGATTGAAATAGGATAAAAGTGGTTTAATATTCTCAGCATACAGGTCGACAAATAGTTGCAGTTTCCATCTTGATTTAAACAGCATAAATCTTCGACCATATTGATCATGATTTATTTGTCTTTTTAGTGATTCTGAACAATAATGCTCATATGTGTGGACGACATTACTTAGTTAGATCCATTCGATCCCGCTCAGCTGCGATATGTCGTTATTCAGGAGGTTCAACGGTAGAATCTACAATAAATAGAAGAAAATACAGTTTCTCGTTCTATCCAACATCTATGAGCTATCCTAACCAAAGATTCCGATATATTTTTGTCAATTACATTTCGAAATAGGTGTTGATTCAAATCGTTTTTTCCGCCGTGCCCGGTGAAAAAAAATGAGCGTGATTCCGCAAGTTCCTGCGGGAAAAGTGAAACATTTTCACGTGGGAAGTGAAAGTCTTCTGCGGGAAAAAAAGCACTTTTCCGCCGCATTCTGCAGGAATCTTTTGAAAATCTGAAGAACTCCGTTCTTTTCTTAGGGAAAATTCCCGCGTAGTTTAAGACATTTACGACGAAAAATCTCGGTAGAATTCTTCTCTTTTCCCAATGTAGAAGAATTCTACAGAAATTTTTCGTCGTAAATGTCTTAAACTATGCGAGAATTTTTGCGCAGAATTCTGCCGAAACATTTTCTGCAGAAAAATATTTTCACGGTTGTCTTGCTTTTCATCTCATCTCTCATCATGCCGCTATCCACTTTTCTCATCATTATACATATCGTAGTCAGTCTCACTCTACTTAGTTTTCCTGCAGAAGACTTACTTTTTCCGCACAGTATTATGCACGGGATGTTTACTTTTTGTCCAGAGTTGACGAATAATATTGAATTTTTGTAGGTTTGAACACGGTACCTTCGAATTGCATGACAAACACTTTCCTTCCCATTAAGCCATCGCGAATATTCTACAGTTAGATAGATTTTGTATATATATTGAAAAATTAGTCAACTTTTACGTATTCTACGTTTGTACACCTTTTTTATGGATTGTACATTCCATAAAGGAATTAACAATTCTTACTAATTTTTGTCTTACTAACAGCTTTTAATTAACTATGGCTTAATTAACTACGGCGTGTTTAGTCTTTTGCTCTTTTTAGATTATAACTAGCGTGGTAAAGAATGCCTGTGGGGTCTGAAGCAAAACAGAAACCAAAGACTACGAAATCTAAACCGAAATCAAATTTTTTTGTTATAAAATCGCAACAACGGACATAACAACTGGTGTATTGGAACATGTGGACGAGCAATCGATGGTAAGTAGTAGTACACATTACTTAGTGCAATCCTTTATTTGCTTTTCTTTTTTAGGATGTGGCTGGATTGGTAAAGAAAGAAGTTGTATACTTACTCGTTCAATCCGTGATGGGACGTTTTTTTCGGGTTCCAAATTGGAGATGAGTCAGATACTAGACCTGATGCTGTTTTGGTCGCAAGGCGTCGATTCGCACAAGTTTCTTCGTCGTCGCTGTGGTTTCGCAAGTAACTCAACAATCGTCGACTGGAAAAACTTTTTGCGTGACGTTTGCGCCGAACATTTCTTGCGCAATTCAGCTGTTATTGGCAAGGATGTTCAGATGTTATTGGTGGCGTTGGGCATATCGTCGAAATTGATGAAAGTTCCTGGACCAAGCGGAAGTATAATCGTGGCCGAGCAATTGGTAATCAATGGATATTCGGTGGCACGAATCGTGATACGGGTGAATGTTTTCCTGTTACGGTTGATCGTCGAGATGCAGCTACTATTTTGCCAATAATTTTAAGTCTGTTATGCGAGTCTAACGATTAGACTCTCATGTATCTCTGTTTCTAGCAACAATGCGTAAGACCTGGTACCACCATATACAGTGATGAATGGCGAGCATATTCATCACTGTACAGCAACATCAATCAATACAACCATCTTACGGTGAATCACTCGCTGTATTTTGACGATCCAACCACACAAGTGCACACGCAGAACATCAAGAATATGTGGATGTGTGCGAAGATGAAACAGAAGAATATGATGGGGATGCACAAATCGTTGTTACAAACCCATCTAACAGAATTCATGTGGCGAAAGAGATTTAGTGATCGACCACTCATACACCTCATCGAACAAATTAAAGATCTGTATCGTATACACCACACATTACGTATATACAGAATAGACACCACATATTATATATAACAGAAAAGGAAAAAGAATTGATTGGAAGGCAAAAGAGCAATTGTATTAAGAGATTATACACGACGCGAAGTATAGAACGAGGACCACAAGTACGGCAAATATATTTACAAACGAAAAAAAACAACACGAATTAAAAGAAAAGTGAAACCGAATTAATTTTCTTTTGGTACCGGATACAGATCATTAAATTGTTCGATGAGGT